CTCTGGAGGTGATGATGAGTTTGGAGAGAAGAAGGTGGATTTAAGAGAGATCCAGGAAGTAGAGCAAGCAGTATAGACAGGACTTGTTGATGGTGTGGCTGAGGACAGGGGACGACAGGGCTGAGGATGGGGGACGACAGGGCTGAGGACAGGGGAGGAAGGGGCTGAGGACAGGGGGAGGACGGGGCTGAGGACGGGGGAGGACAGGGCTGAGGACAGGGGAGGACAGGGCTGAGGACAGGGGAGGACGGGGCTGAGGACAGGGGAGGACGGGGCTGAGGACAGGGGAGGACGGGGCTGAGGACGGGGGAGGAGAGGGCTGAGGACGGGGGAGGAGAGGGCTGAGGACAGGGGAGGACGGGGCTGAGGACGGGGGAGGACAGGGCTGAGGACAGGGGAGGACAGGGCTGAGGACAGGGGAGGACGGGGCTGAGGACGGGGGAGGAGAGGGCTGAGGACGGGGGAGGAGAGGGCTGAGGACGGGGGAGGAGGGGGCTGAGGACGGGGGAGGAGAGGGCTGAGGACGGGGGAGGAGAGGGCTGAGGACAGGGGAGGAGAGGGCTGAGGACGGGGGAGGAGAGGGCTGAGGACAGGGGAGGAGAGGGCTGAGGACGGGGGAGGAGAGGGCTGAGGACAGGGGAGGAGAGGGCTGAGGACAGGGGAGGACGGGGCTGAGGACAGGGGAGGACAGGGCTGAGGACAGGGGAGGAGAGGGCTGAGGACAGGGGAGGACGGGGGAGGAGAGGGCTGAGGACAGGGGAGGAGAGGGCTGAGGACGGGGGAGGAGAGGGCTGAGGACGGGGGAGGAGAGGGCTGAGGACAGGGGAGGAGAGGGCTGAGGACGGGGGAGGACGGGGCTGAGGACGGGGGAGGACGGGGCTGAGGACAGGGGAGGAGAGGGCTGAGGACAGGGGAGGACGGGGCTGAGGACAGGGGAGGACGGGGCTGAGGACGGGGGAGGAGAGGGCTGAGGACGGGGGAGGACGGGGCTGAGGACAGGGGAGGAGAGGGCTGAGGACGGGGGAGGACGGGGCTGAGGACAGGGGAGGACGGGGCTGAGGACAGGGGAGGAGAGGGCTGAGGACGGGGGAGGAGAGGGCTGAGGACGGGGGAGGACGGGGCTGAGGACAGGGGAGGAGAGGGCTGAGGACGGGGGAGGAGAGGGCTGAGGACGGGGGAGGACGGGGCTGAGGACAGGGGAGGACGGGGCTGAGGACAGGGGAGGAGAGGGCTGAGGACAGGGGAGGAGAGGGCTGAGGACGGGGGAGGAGAGGGCTGAGGACAGGGGAGGACGGGGCTGAGGACAGGGGAGGAGAGGGCTGAGGACGGGGGAGGAGAGGGCTGAGGACGGGGGAGGAGAGGGCTGAGGACAGGGGAGGACGGGGCTGAGGACAGGGGAGGACAGGGCTGAGGACAGGGGAGGACGGGGCTGAGGACGGGGGAGGACGGGGCTGAGGACGGGGGAGGAGAGGGCTGAGGACGGGGGAGGACGGGGGGAGGACGGGGCTGAGGACAGGGGAGGACGGGGCTGAGGACAGGGGAGGACAGGGCTGAGGACAGGGGAGGACGGGGCTGAGGACAGGGGAGGACGGGGCTGAGGACAGGGGAGGACGGGGCTGAGGACGGGGGAGGAGAGGGCTGAGGACGGGGGAGGAGAGGGCTGAGGACGGGGGAGGAGAGGGCTGAGGACAGGGGAGGACGGGGCTGAGGACAGGGGAGGACGGGGCTGAGGACAGGGGAGGACGGGGCTGAGGACGGGGGAGGACGGGGCTGAGGACAGGGGAGGAGAGGGCTGAGGACGGGGGAGGACGGGGCTGAGGACGGGGGAGGAGAGGGCTGAGGACGGGGGAGGACAGGGCTGAGGACGGGGGAGGACAGGGCTGAGGACGGGGGAGGACGGGGCTGAGGACAGGGGAGGACGGGGCTGAGGACAGGGGAGGACAGGACTGAGGACAGGGGAGGACAGGACTGAGGACAGGGGAGGACAGAGCTGAGGATAGGGGAGGACAGAGCTGAGGATGGGGAACAACAGGGCTGAGGACAGTCTTCAATGGATTTCTGTTAAATTAACTAAAATTAATAAATGCATCCTAGGAGCACTTTGTTTTCTCTTTCAATCCTGTTCTAGAGGCCTTGATTTCTATCAGTATTGTTTTCAATACAAAATTCAGGAGTCAAACTCTGGGTAGTATTGTAACATAACATACTGCCGCGTTGATACCTTTGGTTTTGTAATATTCAGCTCAACACTTGGCATTCATCCTGATCAGTTATATCTGCTTAGTATCTGTCTTCTTTCCATTATGTGAGGTGAGATCTAGAGTCTGCCCCTCCCAGTGTGGCATACTTGCATATTTGGCAAAAATGTGAATTCTATTCCTCTTACTTGTGGTTTATGACACTAGACAAGTCTTGTAGGTTGTGGGGGCTTAGAATTCAAATCCAAGTTATCTGGTGTCTTTAAAGACAGGTTTTTGGTTGAAATAAAATCAAGTCCTCGGCTATTTTGGGAAGACAAAAGGCCAGACCTTCATTGTTGGAAGAAATTCCTCCCAAAGCTTGATTTTTATTTTCTTTGTTTAGCAGTATTCTCACAGTAGCTTTAAAAATCGGCATAAAAAGTTAATTCTCTGTAAGATCTCCTTTGTGTGCAGATGTTAAAAGACTCTGTCTACTTAATTTCTTCTTAGCTGTGGTTGAAAGTGAAAGTGAAAGTGAAGTCGCTCAGTCGTGTCCGACTCTTTGCAACCCCATGGATTGTAGCCCACCAGGCTCCTCCATCCATGGAATTTTCTAGGCAAGAGTACTGGAGTGGGTTGCCATTTCCTTCTCCAAGGGATCTTCCCAACCTAGGAATCGAACCCGGGTCTCCCGCACTGCAGGCAGACACTTTACTGTCTGAGCCACCAGGGAATCCTTGTGCTTTATTTTATCTGTCCCAGAAATCAAATTATGTGTGTGTGTGTGTGTGTGTGTGTGTGTGTGTGTGTGAATTTACTAGTGAAAAGATGAGACAGTCTTAATGAAAAAAACTCCTCTACTCAAACATACCTGGTTCCATGCCTGTGTACTGTTTTCACATTCTGTCCATGTGTGTACATCACACATGGGTCGTTGTTGCTGCTCAGTCATAGGTCGCGTCTAACTCTGTGTCCCCATTATCTGCAGCACACGCATCGTGGACATGCTGCTCTGTGTTTTCTCATACAGTGGTCAAGCCGATCCACAAAGCTGAATAGTGATTTTATCTAATGGCTATATTTTAGTGTCTTACTACATAAATATTCATTTAATTCATCACTTTCACCTGGATGCTTAGTGGACACCAGTGTTATCTCATTATTAGAAACAACACTCCAATGAATATTCCCATGTACGTAAGGGCAGCGTGTTTCAAACACTAACAGGAGAGGTATCCAGACGGAATAAAGAGTGTGTGTCCTTCGTAGATTTGATGAATTTGGGCTTCCCAGGGGGTTCAATGGTAAAGAATCCACCTGCCAATGCAGGAGACATGGCTTCGATTCCTCGGTCAGGAAGATCCCTTGGAGAAGGAAATGGCAACCCACTCCAGTGTTCTTGCCTGGGAAATCCCATGGACAGAGGCGCCATGGAGTCGCAAAGAGTTGGGCATGACTGAAAATGCACACACATGCCATGTTGTTGATACTTTCCAAAGGGTGAAATCAATTTACAACATATTCAGGTAAGGTATAACAAATGTGTTTCTCTTTTCTTTTCCTAATGTAGGCTAGTTTTGACAACGGTGTTAATAATAACAACAGTAACAACAATAGTAGTAGCTAATATTCTTGAGATGAGCTATGTGACAGGCATTACATTAAGTGATCTGCAAGCATTGTTTGTAATGGTTAAAAATGTAAATCTGCAAACTGACTTCACAAGGCCAACTTCAGACTCTACCGACCTGTTGTCTAACTGGCTCTGTTCCCTCCTTACAAATGGTTCATAGGGGCACTGTGAGCCTCAAGTGAATTAACGTGATAGAGAACCTCAATAAGCCCTGGGTAATGCTGGTTACTATTATTCCTAATAATGATTATTTTATGAACCCATTTTACAGACAGTAAAACTAAGAGGTTAATTGTGTGGGTCGAGGTCACATAACTAGTGAGAGATTGTGCTGAGATTCCAATTGCAGAGACCATTTCCCAAGGATTACAACTGCAGACATCTTTTTCTGATACAACTATTCAACCAGTTCCCAAGAGGGGAACAACACTGATATCTAAGAAGTGTGACTGTTGCCCCTGAGTTAAATCAAGGCAGATTCAGGTCTAGAAATGAGAGCATTGGGACCCCATGTTTCACTGGAAAAGCCAAGATGTAATTCCTTGTTTCCAGGCAACAAGGCAGCTGGTCTTTCGATGCTGTTTCCTTCATCCTTGGGATCTGAAGGCAGGGAACTGTGAAATGCCCCCTTGACTGTAAAGGCCTCATGAGCAGGAGTCCTGAGGTCCTGCTTAGGACCCCCACGAGCTCCTTCCTTGCCTCAGGAAGGTTCTCTACAAATTTTTACTGACCTGAATTTCCCCTAAATACCACCATAAACACTTCCAGTTATTTCTTAATATACTCTGTTCATAACTGCTTAGTCAATTATTTTTATTAGCATAACATTCCTTTTAAGCATGATGATGTTGGAAAAACAGAAACAATGTAAGCGCGTTTCCTCAGCTGTGGTTGATTGCTGGTGTTTTCCTCCTTTTTTTTTTTTTTTTTTTTTGGTGGACCTCCTTTGCAGATTTGATGAATTAATTGTAAATTTCCCAAGGGGAACTAGCATGAACTGATCTTTGTCTTTTATTCTGTAATGTTAGTTTCTATTCTAGTCCTGATGACTATCCATTGAGACCAAAGTTTGAATATTGCCAAGGGCTCATAAAATTGCTGACATAACCTACTTTCTCCGGAGAACCCAACTTCAATTTTCCTAATGAATGAATGCCTTCTTTCTCCCCCAATGTCTGCTCCAATAGCTATTTGTGGAGACCGTAGATGTCAACGGCAGGACTCTCGAGGGGCCAGTCCCTCTGGAAGTCATCGTGATTGATCAGAATGACAACAGACCCATCTTCCGGGAAGGCCCCTACATTGGCCACGTCATGGAGGGGTCACCTACAGGTACGTTAAGTCGGCACATGGTTCACATAAAGGCTTGGGAGGTGGCCTACTGTGATCTCTGGGGATTCTGGAGACTGTTTCATCGCCACCATTCTGACTTACTGTTGGTGTGCGTCAACACTGATATATTATTTCCCTGGACAGAAGCACGCCCTAGAAAACCGCAACTCAGAACATGACTGGGGTGCTGCAAGCTGTGAAAATGTCTTCCCTTGTGTGCAAAGGTGACCTTTAAGGATGGCCAACATCTCAGTCTCCTATGTATGGTTCATATTGGACACCATGTAAATATCTAGCTCCCCTTGTGAGGGCCCAAGGCTGAGCTTGGTGTACAGCAGAGAAATTAAGGACCTTAGTGCAGCTCCTCAATTAATATTTCTCTTCATAACTGCCTTTTAATAAGAACCGTTTGGGGGAAATGTGTAGGACATTTCCCCCCCCTTTCCTTAGAAGACATGGATGGAGAAAACTTTTGTCCTTGTTCAAAGGGTCAAAGGCAAGACATTTTATTTCCCTCTCTGGCAATACATGTTTCTACTCTATGGAAATCATTCAAGGTTACTACAGAACTCCTGTCATCTTTTCCCTGGTTTTAACCTTTCTATTGGTGAAAGTTTTAGAATTGAGAGCTCCCTTTTTGGCCCATAGATACTAATTAAAGCATTCTGTGGCCAGCAGCAGAAGTAGTCACTCCTGAGCATAATGCTTTCGAAAGTGAAGAGCAGTAGAAAAATCCCTATTTTAAGGGTAGACTTTAATTTTAAGCTTTCACATACATTGAGTGAAAACAATTATCTGGATTATGCCCAAACACTTGTAACAAACGAGTCACTCCTCAGGCCGGGAGGACATGGACCTCAGGGGCTGCTCAGCTGGTTCTTTTTCCCTTGCTGAATGGATGGCGTGTATCAATAACATGTAGATACCCGAGGCTCTGGAAGCATTGTCATGGCAACCATCTAGCCTACCAGGTGACTAATTGTATGCAAGGTGCCTAAAACCTCCCGTCAGCCTTCAGGAGTTAGGCCTCCTGCACTTAGTCAGATAGAACCCCAGGGGCAGGAGCAGCCCTCTCTCTTCTGGGATGTGAAGGCATTCTGTAAAACAGGGTGGGCACTGGTGGCAGCAGCCTGGAGAGACAGTGAGCAGGCTGGTGAAGGTGGGTCAGATCACCTCCGGGCAGACCTTCCCTTCTGATGGACAGATGACTTCCAAGGAGACACACCCTGGAATTTGGGTTGGAAGTTTACAGAAATCTTAAGCTGATTTGCAGAATGATTTAGAAGAACTGATGGGGAAAGCTATTCAAGGAACTGGAGTTTGAGCAGAGCAGAAAAATAATCCCCAGTTCCCATGTGTGGTACCCGGGCCCTGTTTGTGAGTGACTGGAATTCGAGATGGGCCCAGAAGTGTTCTAAATGTAAATGACAGTGTTACATCCGAGGCGGCTGTGAGGCGGCTGTGAGCGTGTACCTGTCTTTGTATAGTATATGCGTATATGATTAGACGACGTCCAATTTTTCTCCCACTGCGCCCTTCTTTAAAGTTTCAGAAAGAGTTTCAAATTTTATTGCTTTTATATACATGTCATATTTTCAGAGAAAAATGGAATCCTTTATGCACATTGAATTTCTTAAAGCACAAAGCAATTCGGTTAGCGTGAACGTATACCCAGCAAAACATAAACCACCTTAAACTTCTATTTATGATTGGTATTATCCTATAAAAATACATAAAGACTTGGATATCTGTATGGAATAGTTTCTTCCAGTTATGCAGAATTTGGCCTGATTCATAGTTTTCTTTTTCTGCACCCTATGGGTTTGATTATAAAACAGGAATTGAAATATGGAGTCAGTCAAATTTGAGGTCAAAAATGTGACAATGTTGTGTAAAAGTTTCAGCAGAAAAAACCCTTATATTACTTTGCACCCTGTGAGAGAGCTCAAGCAGATGGTACCTGATGTCTGTGAGGACAGTGGAAATCTGGGAAAGAAGGTGGGGCCTGTTTTCCAGTCCCCTCCCAGCCTAAGCTACTTGTAAGTCCTAACAATCTGTGACAGGCTGGAGAAATGATCACCTCTTCTGTTTGCACAATGTCCTGCTCATTTGTGGCTCATGGAATCCTCTGTGCTGTAGACCCTGTATTGAACCATTTCACAGAGAGGAATCCCAGCCTCAGGAGTTCATTGGCCTTGCCCAGTTCACATAAATGACAGGTGGGTACACTGTTCACAACTCAGCCCACAGCATCAGCCTTCAAATCATGTGCTCTTCCAACTGACCCACAAACTTCCCTGTGCAAATAGCCGTTAAATGATTATCACATTTAGGGGAGCGCTGCTGTGTGCCGAGAGAGCTTTCTCTAACTGTGTTATTTCCTCCACTCTGCCCTGAGGTGTGGGTACCACTCTTCCCATCACACAGATGAGAAGGCTGAATCTCAGAGAGATCTGGGAACTTGAACCAGCTAAGGCTGGTGGATGACCTAGAGTCAGTGTCTGTGTCTGGCCTCAAGCCGCAGGCTCTTTCCCAGACACTGGATTGTACGTGGCCACCTTCTCTCACATGGACTCTTTGCAGGCCCAGCTAAAGGGAATTTGTGTAATCTGTCAGATGAACTGAGTTGACTCCTGACAGAAAATAACCAGCTTTTCTGATAGAAGAGCCAGGCACCCTGAGTCACTTTTCATTCAATGTGAGCTGTTGCTCCGTTTCTAGGGTTAAACGGTGTTACGCTTGGGGGGCCCTTGTCATCACTCACACCACTTTCTTCTACATCCACATAACCAGAGCCAGCTTCATGGGGTGGGACCTGCACAGCCTCACAAAGCCCCAGGCTCCAAAGGGCTCCACACTTCGTTTAATGATCTGTTGTCGCCATCTTAAAATTCTTAATAATTGTTCAACAAGGGACCCGGCAACTTCATTTTGCACTGAAAGTGAAAGTGAAAAAGAAAGTCACTCAGTCATGACCCCATGGACTATACAGTCCATGGAATTTCCCAGGCCAGAATACTGGAGCCTATCCCTTCTCCAGAAGATCTTCCCAACCCAGGAATAGAACCCAGGTCTCCCATATTGAAGGTGGATTCTTTACCAACTGAGCTATCAGGGAAGGCCCATTTTGTGTAGCTGGTCCTACACATAGCACTGTGGCCTGGAGCTGGGACTGATGCTCTGCACAACTCCTTAACAAGGTGAGACTGCAAGCAGGTTACCAAACCTTCTAGAAGCCTCAGTCACCTTGTCTGTATTAACAGATAGGGTGGGTATAGAATAGTACCTACCCTAGAAAGCTCCATGCGATGATTAACGTAGGCTGTGTGCTGCACTCAGTGCTTGGAAATGTTTAAGAAATGCCAGTGTATTGTTAATGCTGCAACTATTCTTACTATTCTGGTGGCCTACCCTTTAGGGAAAGTAAGGCAAAAAGACCTGCAGTTTGTGTGAAGGAGCATCCATCTCCCAACCAACCAAGCATCATTTTCATGTTGCAGTGTACCCAGATGCCATCAGCACCAATCCATCACCAAACAAGGCCACCCATATTAATCTCTATGTGCAGACGGGAGGCCATTTCTAGCTGCTCAGCATAAACTCCAGGGTATTGTTTTAGGGAATCATTACTAGATGAAGGGAGATCAACAGAAAATAACAGCCTTTGAACTTTGTAGATTACATACCGTCCCTTTTGTGGAACCTCAAGGCATTGATTTATGGGACCCGAACTCAGGCCCTGGCTGCTCCTTGGAGCCAACAAGAACTCCGTGTGAGTCTGATGTTCTGTGAGTGCCCAATGCCATGACCTCACAAGTGTGAGGGGGGCAGGTAGGTAGAGGCTGAGACCCTTGAAGTTCCTGGAGGACACACACAAAGGCCCCACAGTGCCTCCTGTCACCAGCTCCCCCATGTTTTGTCACCACTGGGCCTCTGGGCACCATTGAGAAGGGCTATCCATGAGGACTGGTGTTCAGGGCTTCCTGCAAAGAAAACCCTGAGGTGAGGACTGAGGGCAGGTGGTCTACCTGACGGGTACAGGATCATGAGTGGGGAGCACTGCAGGAAAGAAAAGCTGGCCAACTTGAGGCACCACATTAAGTCAGTTACCAGGGTAGGCACTTCTGAGCGAGATCCCCTGGGGAGGGAGGACTCTGGGAAATGACATAAAACACATACTCTGGAGTTACTCCAGCTCTGGATCCAGGGAGCTATGCTATCCATCTTCCGTGCTCTCCCCAGGGGTACTTCGGTTCCCAGACACTTCTGCTCAGCTGGGACCGCACCCTGGGTTCTAGCAGCCCAGCAGCCCTCCAACAAGATCCAGAAGCTAGCTGTTGGGTTGGCCTCAGCCGTGCTCTTCCTCCATGCTACTGGCTGCCCTGAGGTTAGCAGGGGCAGCTGGGAGAAGGGCACCCACCACCTAGACAGGGGAGGCAGCTTTGAGAGCCGTCAGGGGAGGGAGGTAATGGGGAGAATATCTTAGTCACCACACTGTGTGCCTGAGAAAGATGAGTGCAACACTGACCTTTCTTCAGAGAGAAGACAGGACCACAGGACCTAGAGGTGCATGTTCTGAGTCTTGAGAGATACCCGTTGCTTACCTGCATGCTGACCCTTCTTGAGGCTGTTGAACAGAGGCAGAGATTAGTGGCTAAATCTTCATCTTTTAACTTCTGAGAGCCCAAGGACCATGCCCTCTCTTGCTCGCTTTATTTTTTTTTTCACCCAGTATTTTTATTAAGCATCTACTCTGTGCCAGCATCTTGCCAGATGCTGCACATTTCCTCCTGACAGCCAGGCGGGGAGACAGCAACAAATAAATCAGAATTGCAGTTGGTAGGAGAGGCAGTGCAGCCATAGGGACCACTCATCCCAGGAGGGTGGGAAGCCGGCCTCCCTTGAAGAGGTGATGTGAGGAGATTGGGGGCGGGACGGGAGTTGTCTCTTATTTTATCTCTGGCATCCACCTGAGCTTCTGTTCTTCTAGTCTCAGGTAC